TCCTCTCGAGGCCATTATGGAACCCATTGCTATTATCATTTTTTATTTTTTTATTTTTATAATTCAATTAAAATCTTCATTGATACTCTAAAAATAAATTTGATAATTTTAGATATAATAAAAAATATAAAAAATAAATTTAAACAACACCTGATTTCAGAAAAAAATAATTTTTTTTTTTATATTTGATGTAATAATATAAATTATAATTTGATAATTTTCACGTTTTATACATATTTAATATAAAATATATATAATATATAAATTGTCAAATCTATAAAAATATAGGATTAAAATGAGACTTTGAAGAAACTCAATTATTAAAATTTCAATTATAAATGAACTTTGATATGCATTAATCATATTAAAATAAAGTACTAAAATATAGGTCTAAAAATTTATTTTATAACTAAAAAGTTTTTAAATTGTCTATCTTGCCTATATGGGAACAAATTTTTTTAATAATATATATATTATTATCAATTTTTTAAAATTCATTTAAGTTTGAATAATTTTTTTATATCGATTCTATGCTTTGAAATTTTTATTTTTAAATTGTTTAATATAATTTTAAATATATTTAAATAAAATTAGATATAAAATAATTATTTTAATTTTATAAAAATTAAAATATAAATAATTCAATTCAAATATTTTTATTTTTATCTAAAATTTGATTCGAATTTAATAAAAATATTTATATCCAAATTTAAATAAAATAGAATAAAAAATTTAATCTGAACTGAACTAAGAACTATAATTTTGAATCGATTTTTTCTCACCTTAAGTGAAACCCAATGCTATTTTTTTTTTTTCTTCATTTTATATAATTCAATCATAATCTTCATTAATACTTCAAAAGTAAACCATAGTCATGATATAAATATATATATAGTTTAAAATTTTAATAAAACCATATATAAATTTATCTAAAATAAAAAGTACTTCATAGTTGACAAATTTAATATAATATTTTCATATTTTATTTTTTAATATAAATAAATTAACATAAATATATTAATTACCAAATTTATAAAAAAACTTCACCAAATATGAGACTTTCGAAAAAACTGAATTATTAAAATTTCAATTATAATTTGGTTAAAACATCTTATAGGTCTATGTATTTTTTAATTTTTAGGAATCTAGTCCTATAATATTATTTAAAAAAATTTAATAATTGTAATATTATTTTAAGAAATTTAGTCATCATAATATTATTTTTAAGGAATTCAATTCCTGTATATTGTTAGATTGAATGAAAATTTTTTAAAAACTAATTTATAAAGACTAAATTCTTTTAAATCATATTGAAAAAACTAAATTTCTAAAAATAAAAAAAATAAAAAGACCTATGACCATAGTTGCTAATTTGTTTTGTTATTGTTTGTATGGTTTGTTATATCAAAATACAATACACTTAAGAATGATTTTTCATAGTAGATTTGGTACTAAATAATATTAATTATTTTTATTATTTTCGACCTATTTTAATAAATTTCGTTGGAATAGCATGTTTCAACCGATATTTTATAATTTTTAACTTATCTTTTGTTATTTAATTATTTTTAACCTAATAAAAATAAAATTAATTGACAAAATAATTCTTAAAAGTTGAGTTTCTTTATTTTTATTTTAAATTATTTTTTATACTTTTATTTTTTCAAACTAGAGTTATAGTATTTCATTTTTTCAAGAAAACAATTTACTCATTTTATAAAGTTTAACAATTATAAACTTTGATTAATTTTTTCATCTATTTGTTTTTATCTTAATATTTATATAAAAAAATACTTATTTAAATACCATATGATTAGATTAAGTATTTAAAAATATAATAAAAAATTTATGATATTATTTTTTTATGTTTTTAAACTTATTTATTTGATTTGAATATATTGCATATTTATTTTATGACTTATTAATAATATTATAATTTACAAGTTCATGCATGTCATCATAACGTATAGATCCACTAACCTATAACTACATTTAGACTTTAAGGAGTTGTTACTAATTTTTTTAAGGTGTGATTGGTCACTTAATGAATGTATCATTTTAAAAAGATTTTAAGTTTAATTAAAGGTTCATAAAAAATGGATTTTGACGTTCTAAATAGAACTAGATTTGAAAGTTCAGTGACATGTAAGAAAGGTTATAGTACCTCCATAATACTAATCCTAAAAGACGGTACCAATTTATTTTAAATTATCCTAAAAAGCATCTTGGTTGTAATGTTTTTTATTCTAATATTTAATATTGGAAATAACTTATAATATTTCTCTATCAATCTAACAAAATTTTTAAAAAATACTTTCTCACCTTAAGAGTATTCAAAAATTTTATTTATTTTTTTAAAGAAGCTCTGTCATCGAAAAAACTTGATCATTTACTTTTTTGTTAATTTTTAGTTTTATTAAATTTTATTTTATTGAAAATAAGATCAAATTCTTTCACTATTTGAGCTCAAAATAAAAATATATTTTTATTTAAAAATTTTTACATTTTTCATTATTTGGATCAAATTTAGAATTCCTAAATGTCATTATCTTATTGTCGAAGTTTACTCGTTATTTATTTCTCAATTTTTAGAATGAAAACAAAAGGACAATTATTATTTGAAATCTCATTCAAAAATTTTCACCATTTAGGTTAAATTTGAAAAAGATTTTTACCTAAAAATCTCTAGAAACTCAACCATTCATGATTTTCTTGAAATTTTGTCATCAAATAATTTTCATATATTTTCAATCAAAATTTTAAGGGTTTTTTTTTTTTTTTTTTAGTTTGGAAATGAGTAAAATTACTTTTATTGAAATTATTTCTAAATTATTTTACTATTCAAGTTAAATTTAGAGAAAATTTTTAATTAGAGATTTTTTAAAAAATTTATCATTTGAAATTTTTAAAAATTTCGTTATTGGATAATTATCATTTATTTTCAAAAATTTATGAAATGAAAATAAAATTGTCCAAATTATTAGTATTTTAACTATGTACTTATTTTATTAAATAATTAAAACATATTTTGAATCAATAAATTTAAATATACATGTAAATGAAATTGAATAAACATATAAAATATAATAAAAATAAAGGCCCTTGTAGCAACAATATCAATATACATCGAGTCGGCCATTCCGTAAAGCTATTTCCCACAAATACAATGGCTTTGCACCACTTGGTGATGGGTCAGAGTCAACCTTCCTCCACGATTAACTAGGCTTATTCACAGCAAGGTTATCTAACTCGTGGACAACTCCAAATAATGCACGTTTCAACCGTCCTTGGAAACTTTATAATTATTTTGAGCTTAGATTAATTTGACATTGAGTTAAGTCGAATTTTAAAATCAAATTCTTTTAAATTTAATTTTTTTAAATAAAATTTTGATTTCAAATTTTAAAAATAAAAAAATTAAATTTTTTATCACTTGATTAACATACTATAGTGATTATGTCACATTTTGATTGTTAATTTTTATATACATAAATTATATTAAAATAAAATATTATCTAAAAATATAATAAGTGATTGGTTCAATCGATTAAGATCATTTTTTTTAACAAAAAATTTTGAATTTAAATTCTCTCAATGATTTGTTAGAATCATATCGAATACATAATTTATAATTACTTATTTTAAATTATCAAATATTCATATTTTAAAGAATTAAATAATTTATCTATCTTGAATATTTTACAACAAAAAAAAAAGTACTGTCTAAAAATTATTTTTATAACTAAAAAATAAGTTTTAAATTATCCATCTTGCCTTCACGAAAACAAATAAAAAAAATATTAAAATTGAGGTGCGTGTTTGCACGCACAGGAATGTTAGCTTTTGGAAACATGGAAGCTGATCCAAGTCCAACCCAACACCCTAAACGCTGGGCGCTGCTGCCGTCCACTGTATTCTCGGCCAACTGTCTCCGCCACTGCAGCCTCGGTCCCTCCTCCCAATTTCATTTCAAGAATAAAATCTCTTCTGTCTGTCTGCGCGCACGCTAAATCACGAGTAAAAATGTTAATCATATGCCAATACGTATAAATTATTAAGATTTAATTCAAATAAAATTTAAATTTAATTTAATATTAAATAATTTAATTTATCATCAATATTATAATATTATTTAAATAATTCACTAATTTAATTTAATTTTTATATTTTAATTAAAAAATTATTTTTTATTTCTATATATTTTTATTAATTTAAATTCAAATTTACACTTAATAATTTATATCATCATGTCATATAAAATATTATATTTATATTATATTTTAAATATATAAAAATCATATGTTATAATTAATATCAATATTAAAATATAAAATATAATTTTTTGATTTTATTAATTTAATTTATATATTTTTTAAAATTTTAAGTTTTATATTTTTATTCGTATTATATGATCGTATCATATTTTAAATTATTAAATTTATTTAAATTAAAATTAAAATATAAATAATTAAATTTATAATCAAATATAAAAATTATTTTATTTTATTTGATAATATATTTAATCAAATAAATTTAAATAATTTTAATTTTTATTCGAATTTAATTTAAATTTGATTGAGCTTAATTCAAAATTTGAATACCAAATTTTAAATCAAACTTAATTTTCTGTCTGTATTTTCACTCGGCTTGGTCACCCTCTTACTCACGATTGCGTGTGCGTAGAAGCCACGTAGAAATTTCCCTCCCTCAACATTTTCAACCTTTTTATTTAAAGAAAAAGTCAAAAATGGAAGATCAAATGGGCCCTTCATAGCTTCAAATACCCCTTTTTTTTTTTTTTTTTTTTCTGTTCTTTTTGTATTTTCTCGAGAAATTTCTCTCTCACAATCCAACTCTCGAACACCAATGCTCCTCTGTCTCTCTTTAATTTGAAATTCTTCACTTCAATTTCTGTCATTATTTATTACTCCCAAAAGCCCAAAAAAAAAAAAATCATTCTCCCATTTGCTTATAAAATTTTTCTTCGTCTTCTTGGTCTTCATTTATTTTCTTTTTGATTCAAATGGGTTTTTGAGTTTGAATTTGAAGGTGGGTTTCTTCTTTTTAATTCAAATGAGTTTTTTGAGTTTGAATGGAAGGTGGGTTTTCTTCTTTTTTTGTGGGGGTGTTTTGGTTGCTGGGTTTTTCTTTGATTGTTTATAAAGTTTCCTTTTTTGGAATATACTAGATCTGTTTGATTCTTTTAGGAAGTGTTGGGAAATTTTAGATTTTTGTCTCTTTTTTAGGGGTTTTTAAATGTTTATTTGGTTCAGGAAATTAAAACTAGAATTTCCATTTTTAACTTTCATTTTTTCCACCCACATTGTTGTAATCTCCACAATCATTTATTTATTTATATTTTTTAAAATGAAAATTTAATCTGTTTCTGATATATATTCTTTATGTAGGGAAAGGAGGAATTCATAGCCAGGCGGTGAATTTAAGAGAGGAAAAGGCAAAGGATTGAGGGTTAACAAAAAAATTGGGTGGTAAGAACATTTTGTCTTTATGATTAAATTTTTTATCAGATTTTTTTAAGTTTAAACTAATTTTGCTGATGTGCATTGAAGGACGTTAGTTGTTATTATTGAATGATGAATAGGTTGATTTGACTCAAATAATCAAATATTGATTAAATATATTCATGTTGTTGGTTCTTAAATGACTTGTTAAAACTTAAATGTCAATGTTGATCTTTGTGTTTGGTTATTCTTGCATGTCAACTTTCGAGAAGGGATTGTATGAAACAGTTTCTATGTAACATCAAATGTTAGTTCCATCTAATTTGACACATGATTATATGTTTCTTAAGCTAGTAAAATATTTTTAACCCATTACTTGTAAATAGTGGAATATATTGCATTCCAACTTTCGAGAAAGGATTGTATGAATCAGTTTTTATGTATCATCAAATATTAGTTCCATCTAATATGACACATGATCAAATGATTAAATAGTGGAATATTGTTTCATGGGGTTTACTGATGATGGATGGAAAAATAAGCTGATGTGTTCATGGTACATTTACGTGTTGGGATTTAAATGATGGTAATACTTGGTGACTTGGACTAACCTTTTAATCCAACAACTTCTCTTCAAATTTCGTTCATATAAAACATTTTATTGTAAGCTGAATGTTCACTGATTTTGTGCATTTTTGTTTGTCTTTTCAGTCTAGACTGGGCATAGATACTAGCATGGCATGTGGGAATCCATTTTTTGATGACTTGCGGAGCAAGCCTGAGGTTATTGATCCTCCACAAGATGAAGAGATTATGGATAGTGAATCTGTGAATGATCCTACTCAAGCTGCTATAAAACCTAATGTGACTGTGTCGAGCAGTGTTCGTGAGCTGTTGGAGTGCCCTGTTTGCTTAAATGCAATGTACCCACCAATTCATCAGGTTATTGATGGTTACTTTCATGAAATTGGTTAACATTCATGTTCTATAATTTGCCTCTGGTGGAATCTCTTACCATCCACAGAAATCTTTTGTGAATCATATTGGTTTCAAACCAACATTAGCTATACTAAATTGTCCTAAAGATTTCTTAAGTAACCCATTTCTATGTACAGGATGATATCTATTTTGCACATTCTTGCCTGTTGAGCGGATAGATTTAACCTCACAGGTTAATATGGTCACAAAGGCTCAATGTGTTATGTTTTGATTATCTTGTCAAGTTGTTTTTCTTGTTGTTTTACCTCTAGTTGTTGATTATTACTTAACCTCCTTTAGGCTATTAGTAGTTTTGAATCATTTAATTAATTTATTTATAGAATTGTCAATGTCTCAAAAGTAGGTTCTGTTATTTCATATGCAAAGGGTGTGGAAAAATCAGTCAATATCAGTTCATACACCTAGGGAATAGAAGCATCACACTGGCGCATAATGTTCTAATGTATACTTGGCAGCGCAATGGCATAAATTCCTGTGTCAGAATGCTCTTTATTGGCTTCTGATGCAATTTGTTCTGTTGTATACTTCTCTTTGTTTGCTGTAGAGTCATTATCATAAATTAATAGTGAAAATTAACACTGTAAACTAACTGCTGGTTTTCTTTCTTTGTGCAGTGTTCAAATGGACACACATTGTGTTCTGGTTGCAAGCCGAGGGTTCACAACAGGTGCCCCACATGCAGGCATGAACTTGGTAATATTAGGTGTCTTGCATTGGAGAAGGTGGCTGCATCTCTTGAACTTCCCTGTAAATATCAGAGTTTTGGGTGCATTGGCATATATCCATATTACAGCAAGCTAAAACATGAGTCCCAATGTTCTTATAGACCATATAGCTGCCCCTATGCTGGGTCAGAATGCATGGTTATTGGTGATATCCCTCATCTTGTGGCCCATCTGAAAGATGATCACAAAGTTGACATGCACAATGGCAGCACCTTCAACCATCGTTATGTCAAATCAAATCCACATGAGGTTGAGAATGCTACATGGATGCTAACGGTATTGTTTCCCTTTTTTCTTTCTTCATATTTCTTGTCATATTTTGGTTTCTCTCCAATCCTCTGGAAGAGGATTATTCTACTGTTTCTGCAAATACAACAGCTAGAAATTTATCGTGTGCTTGTTTTTCTGGTTCATTAGAGAAGTGTGTAAAGTCCATCACCAATGGGGTTGTTGTATTCTTCTACCGGTGAATACAATCATAGAGGGACATAAAACTTTAAAAGTGGCTTTGCTATACCAAATTGAAGATTGTTACTAAGTTGATTTCACATTACTCTTCTTTTTGTTATTTGACATGGCACAATGATATTCAATAGACTGACCCTTGTTATTTTAAATTTTATTTACAGATTTTGTGAGGGGTGTGGCACTGATTGTTGGATTTCTTTTCTCAATTTTTAGGTTTTCAGTTGCTTTGGTCAGTACTTTTGCCTGCACTTTGAAGCCTTCCAGCTTGGGATGGCTCCTGTTTATATTGCATTCTTGCGGTTTATGGGTGACGATAATGAGGCAAAGAACTATAACTACAGTCTTGAGGTGGGTGGGAATGGGAGGAAGATGATTTGGCAAGGGGTGCCCAGGAGCATAAGGGACAGTCACCGAAAGGTTCGTGACAGTTTTGATGGTCTTATAATCCAACGCAATATGGCTTTGTTCTTCTCAGGGGGAGACCGGAAAGAATTGAAGCTTAGAGTGACAGGAAGGATATGGAAAGAGCAGTGATGGGATTGTCCTTGTAGTTTTCCCTGAGTCTTTTTTTTTTTGTGATAGCTAGTAGATTAGTGTGTTTTGGTAGTTTTAAGGGTCTTCTGGTCGTGTATTTTTTGGTTTGTAGGGGGCAAACTCTCTTTGCTTACCCATGCATCAAATACATGAATGGGAAGATGAAACTTTTATGCCTACAAATCTAGTATCTATCTATCTATAGTCATTTTAGATGGTCATATATGATTTGTAAGTAAAGTATTGGATTCTTAATTTTACTAGCTGAAGTTGAATCCATGATAATCTTAAGTAAAAAATCTGTTTTACAAATCTTCGGCTTTGAAGTTGGTTTTGACCAGAGGTGAGAGCCAAAGAGTACTTTGCTTTTGAATTGTACAGTAGTAGACTAGATCAAATTTAGACAAACCTTGATTTGTTTTGATAATTAAAAAAAAAAAAATCCCCAAACTTATGATAAACCAATTCTTAGTTCTTACTTGTTATAGGTATATCTGACTAAAACTTTTAAACTGACGTAATTTTGAGCTTCTTGAACCAGTAATCATCAAGTATTTGAATTTCAAAAGCATTCTTACTTTGACCATTAAACTTAAATACAACGAAGTAGTTTCTGTTTGAAATTAAAACAAGTTCTTCAATCTCATCCACCATTGAGATCTTATTTGAGTGGTTCAATTAAAGTCAATACAACATGCATAAATTTGCTTACCTTTATAGACGAACTTAGCATCCTCTAACTCTTAAACTTCCTCTCTAATCTTGCCCACCACAATATGAATGTCACATAGAGTGAGTCCTTCCAGTCATCCAAGAGCCGAAAATATGCATGCCTCCAAGAAGTCTTTAATAGTAAAGATCCAAAAACTCCCCAAAACGCTGTAAAGAATCCGATTCCCATTCCAGCATAAAACCATTTACTAAATTCATCTCCATCTTCGGTGTGACCATCATCGGGTGGTTGATCCTGAAGCGTGTCATTTCTTGGGCACTGCTGTGAAATTGGAAGGCCACACAGTGCTTGATTACCAACAAAGGCTGAAGCACCAAAGGTCAGGAGTTGAGTACCAGGTGGAATTTTTCCTGATAAGTTATTATATGACAAGTTCAAGTAACTCAAAAAACTTAGATCAGCCATGCTGGTTGGGATTTGCCCTGACAATTGATTTGTTGACAAATCAAGTGATTCTAGTTGTTTCAACTGACCAATTTTTTCAGGGATAGACCCAACCAAATTGTTCCCTGATAAGTTCAAAACAACCAATTCAGCAAGTCTTGTTATCTCATCAGGAATTTCTCCAACTAATTTGTTGCCTGCAAGATCAATGATCCTAAACAGCCCAAGACTTCTTTCGTACTCATACTCTTTTCCTTTCCATCTAACCATTGCCTTTTCAATATAGTGGCCTCCAAAGAAAATATAAGCTTGCATGGAAGACACATAAATGTCCTCCGTGATATCATTTGAGTCTCCTTTTTGAACCATGGCTGTCAAATTATCAAGACACGATGGTATTGCTCCAGAGAGAAAGTTTTGAGAGAGGTCCAGAATCCGTATATTTGCTAATTGGCATAAATTGGAAGGTATCCTCCCATTGAATTCATTACCTTGTAGACTCAAAAATATCAAAGATGACAGGTTTTCTCCTACCCAGGCTGGTACACTTCCAGAAAACATATTCTCGCTAAGGTCCACAAATTTCAATCTACTGCAATTCTTCAAAGAAGAAGGTAAGCCTCCAGAGAAGCTATTACCGTGCAATTTAATTGTTTCAAGTGACAACAGAGATCCCACAGCAGTTGGAATAACCCCAGAGAAGTTATTATTAGCTAAATTCAAAACTACGATGTCTTGCCAGTGGAAAAAGCAATCAGGAAGCACTCCGTCCAATGAGTTATCAGAAAGATCAAGAGATCTCAATACCCCAGCTGTATTCTTACACAATGGAGAAACTGATCCCGAAAATCTATTTTTAGCAAGAATTAATTTGGTCACATTATAAGGAAAGACTGGCAATGGACCCTCAAACAGGTTTGAACTTAAATCTATTCCAATAAATGTAAGAAGCTTGACTGGTGATAAGTCTGATAGCATACCAGTCATCTGGTTATGGGAAAGATTTAAGAAAATCAAGTAAGTGGGCAGGTCCCAAAACCAATCAGGGATAGTACCTGAAATTCCAGCACCGGAGATATCAAGATCCTGAAAACTTCTTTGAGTATGAAGCCATTTTGGGAAGTGAGGCCCCAAATTGCAAAATGATAGATGAATTTGATTCAACTGAAAAGGAGGAATCCAACCGGAGCTGACATTGAAAGTTAAAAGATTAAAGGATAGGTCAAGTGTATGTAATTTGGAGAGATTTTCAAAATGCTCTTCGGATATCGCACCTTCCAAAGAATTCCAAGAAGCATCCAGATGCTCGAGTTCAGGCAGGCATCCTAGACTTTCAGTCACTGTTCCATTGAATCGATTATGGCCAATATCTAAATATTTCAATGATGAAAACTGGGTGAGATCAGGTAAAGGACCTGTAAGCTGGTTGTCCGAGAGAGATAGAGAAGTAAGCTTGGAAGGTTGTTTGAAACTTGTTGGAAAAGAGCCATTTAATCTATTACCAGAGAGATCGAGTTCTCTTAGTGAAGAAAATCCTGTTACATAAGACAAACTGAATGAATTTTGAAAGCGATTCCAAGGCAGGCTCAGAATCTCCAATGAATTCTGTATGCACCCAGACAAGCCAGCTGGAACAAATCTACTGAACTAGTTTTCAGAAAGGTCCAATGTTTTTAAAGTACAAATGTTCCCAAGGAATTCTGGAATCTCACCTCCAAGTTCATTATCGGACAGATCAAGATGTTCAAGTGAAACCAAGTTCCTGAAAAAGTCTGGAATTGAGCCTTCTAACAAGGTACTTTGAAGGGTAAGATCAACAATCTTGCTGGTAATATTGAACAACAAAGGGTACATGGAAGAAGTAAGATAGTTTAAAGAGAGATCAATGGAAATTCGGGATGAAGTAGAGTTAGTCAGGGAAGGTGGAGACGAGATTATTGGAAGGCTACAGCCGGCCAACCGTAAGTGTTCTAGGTATGGAAGCTTGATGAGCAGTTGAGGCCAATCCTTGGCACCATTAAGGTTGTTCGAACTGAGGTCAAGATATCTTAAAGAAGAAAGATTCAGAATCTGATTCAGGGTTGTGAAACTTAACCCAGTATCATGAAGATCGAGGTGTCTTAACTTGCTTAGTGAGCCATTGATATTCGGAAACTGAGTTCCTCCAAAATCATTGTAAGTAAGGTCTAAATATCTTAAATACCTCAGTTCAAGCAGTGAAGGATTAATCTTACCTCTCAGACTACTATTTACAAAGCCATCAAATTCATCATCAAAGGTCAGAGGATGATGAAGATCAAGCATGACTACATGGCCTGTTCTGTGGCTACAACGAACACCTCGCCACAGACAACAATCTTTTTTACCATTTTCGCTTCCCCAAGACGAGAGTCGACCAGAATTATCAACAAGGCTTTGCTTGAACGTCAGGAGAGCTTGTCTCTCCTTATCTCTGCATCGGATGTTTTCCCCTTCGGCACTTGGATTGAAGCCATTTGCAACTGTTATGGTCTGGCAAAGCCCAACAAACACAATTGGTAGAATCTGAAAGAATCTGGATTTTCCAGACATTGTTGTCATACTAATGAAATTGAGACAATTTTGGCGTCGATTGTAGTTCGTCCTTAGAAAACCAAATCAAAGAGTCTGGACTATGGAAATTAAAACATTTCCTTGTTCTTTCCAAATTAAATAGAGCCTAAGAAACACGATTGGTGGAATCTGAAAGAACCTGGATTTTCCAGACATTGTTGTCATACTCATGAAATTGAAACAATTTTGGCGTTGATTATGGTTCGTCCTTAGAAAACCAAATCAAAGCGTCTGGACTATGGAAATTAAAACATTCCTTGTTCTTTCCAAATTAAATAGAGCCCAAGAAACACGATTGGTGGAATCTGAAAGAACCTGGATTTTCCAGACATTGTTGTCGTACTCACGAAACTGAGACAATTTCGGCCTTGATTATGGTTCGTCCTTAGAAAGCCAAATCAAAGAGTCTGGACCATGGACATTAAAACACTTCCTTGTCCAAATTAAATAGAGCCCAAGAAACACGATTGGTAGAATCTGAAAGAAGATGGATTTTCCAGACATTATTGTCATACTCATGAAATTGAGACAATTTTGGCGTTGTCCTTAGAAAACCAAATCAAAGAGTCTGGACTATGAAAATTAAAATATTTCCTTGTTCTTTCCTACTAAAATAGAGCTACCACAGGATTTAGAAACATTTATTTATTTGAGGAAAGCCAGGGGCAGTCGCCCCAGCAATTGCAAAGCGATAGTCAAAATGGCTGCCCCTATACAAATATTTTAGTCTATTCAAAGACAAATTATAAATACTTATCTATTGGCCGAATGATCTTTCAAGATTTTATTATTAAACAATAAATATAATTATTTATGTAATATTTAATTTCATTTTGAAGATCATTATCAAAATGATCTAATTAGCAATGTGATTATAACATTTGTGATTTGAAAAAACTCTATTTGATTAACAATTATTAATTCTTAAAAATTAAAGATCACTAAGTTTGGTATTGCTAGAAATCATATATTATTTTGTTTAAAAGTATAAAAATGATCATGCATATTATAATAGTTATATAAGTTAATAATTTTAATGTTGTTTAAAATAATAATTTGTGAAATATTGATAATATTTTATTTATTTTAAAATAAAATATAATTAAATTATTAAATTAATAAATACAATTATCGGTAGGTAAACTAATTTTTATATTATAAATTATGTAAAAAACATTTGAATTAAAAAATAAAACTAATCTATTACAATCATAATAAAATAAAAATACAAAGATCATATTATACATAAAACATTTAAAAGAACACATAAATTATTTTTGAACAACGAATATTAATATGAAAATATAAAATAACAACAATTTTAAAGATTAAGTTTTTAATTTACATATTACATAACTAATATTGATTATTATTAATTTTATATATTATTTCACTTTGATGATAAAAGTTTTTTATTTTTTTAGATAATAATTAAATCACATTTTAAAACAATAATTTGATCACATCACTATCGCATAGCGTTTCTAAGTGTTTCACAAACATAGTGATTTAAAGTAAATTATAATAATTTTTGAAATAATCACCTCATAACAAATACTACTTTAAAATTTATTAAATAAATTAAATATACAAAATTTTATATAAATACAAAAAATTCTTATATTAGATGGTCTATCAATTTCTTAAATTCTATACCTAGTTCATTTTTTATTTAATTGAAATTTTCACAAATTTAATATAAAATCTAGCTCATAACAACAGTGATTCTTTTTAATTTTTAAACTTTTATAGTTATATGAACATATTTTCACATTTTCTTTTTTTTTTTTAAATAAACAATTTGGACTTCTTCTTTTGGGTCTTTCGTGACCAAATATTTTGGGCCTAGCAATAAATTATTCAATTAAAAATATAAACCAAATCCTTATAGGCCCAGCCCCAAAAACCTTCATTTTCCTTTTAACTAATGCTCAATTAAAAGTATAAAGTTTACGTATTTTTTCAATTAAAGATTTTATTTTTAATTTGATTCAATTTAAAATTAAAGTTTTTGAATATGTTCAAATAAAAATTCTCTTACAGCTGTGGTTTACACGTAAAAAAAATTATGAATCAATGTCCTGCATGCATCTCTCTTTTTAGGAAATATTGAGAACACAAAGTCAAATTTAGAAGTATAATCAACTTAAAAAATCAAGATATTATCTTTTTCCCCGAATTTAACCCATAATTTTTTTATATTTTCTCACATTTTCTCGACATCAAACACCTAAAAATTGACCGAAAGTTTAAAAATCACGTACCAAATCTAACCGATCATTATCTCTATTTTTCACACTTGTTCAGCATCCAAACACCAAGAAATTCACCCAAAGATTAAAAAAATACTTACCAAACTTCATAATTTTTTTTTTAGTTTTCCTACACTTTTTCAATATCTAAATATCCAAAAATCCACCAAATAATTAAAAAAAAAAAAACCTGCCAACAGTTGACCCAGTTGGATGGATATGAAGCGTGTAGAGCCAACAAGCAGATATCGGATGGCGTGAGAAAAAGGGTAAGGGGGTGACGACAGAAGAGGAGAGAATGGATGGGAAGAGGATCAGTGATCAGGTTTTATTTTCTCTATCTTTCTCTTTCTATTCTCCCTCTTAAAAAAAAAAATCGTAAGTTTTAATTTTATTTCTAAAGAAATAAGGTTAAAAAAGAAATTAATGTTTAACTTTGGGTTGGTGTTAGAAAGATCAAGAGAGAGATCCAAAAATCTTCAAATCATCAAGATTATTGGGTATTTTCGAAAAGATTTGATTATTGTTTGCTAATTTCTTTTTTCTTTTTTTTTTTTTTGAAAAATTTGCATAAATGAAGTATTTTTTTATTGATAAAAATGAAAAATTTTAGTGTTACTAGATTTTAACGGCAGTGCGACTCATTATTTTTAGCAAGTCTTGTTTTCAGCTAATTCAAAATTTTTAATAATTATTTAAATCAAATTAAAAATGATATTTTTAATTAAAAAAACATCTAAACTTTAAATTTTAAATTGAGTATTTAAGCTATTTGTTTAATCAATTTCCTCTCAAAATTCTAAATTTCCAAAAAATTTAACTCCGAGAAGTCACGTGCTCTCACATCCAATTCATCAAAGAAGAAGAGAGTAAAAACGAAGTCACGTGCATAAAATGGCGGCCTCACCGCCAGCCACGGTGAAAACCACCGTCGAAAAAACCATTACCACCACCACAACCACAACAACAATTTCGATGGCTACAGTTTCTGCTACTGCGGCAACACCTCCTCCTTCGCCGCCGTTTTAGCGAATGGACACGCCGCCTAAGACATAGCGTAGGCTCAATAAGCCTAAATAGCCTAAGACAATGCGTAGGCTTAAGAAGCCTAAATGTTTTCAGTGTGGCAATGTTGCCCGCTCCAGGTAAAAGAATTCTCTCCTCTGTTTTTTTTTTTTTTCTCTAAATTTAGACTCTGGATTTTTCTAATTTCATGTGTAGTTATGAGATTTTTTTAGTTCTTTTTTTTTTTTTTTATGGCAAATGGGATTTTGGTTTATTTAGTCAGCTATTTTGAAGTTTGTTTATTTATTTATTTATTTTTGTTTCAGTAAGATTAATTATTCAAGGAAAATTATCAATTGAAACAGCAATATACTTTAAGTTACTATGAATTTTAGACTCCATATTTTTGTTGGCCATAACAAAAAGGAAAATTTTAGACTACAGTTTGATTTAAGGTTGTCTGTCAATTTTATTGTCTGGTTTTTGTTTGGTCAAGAGTACTCTGTTTGGTGCATAAGATTATGATAAGATAGTATAAGATGATATTATGATTAGCATTAGATTAAATAATTCCATACTATCTTGTGGTTGATGTATACAAGGATTATGATAGAATAATTTATTTATTGGTTAAAATTATCATTTCTCAAAATTTATACAATTTAAAGTATTGATATAATTTTTAAGGGTATAATAGAATATGTAAGTTCAATCCAATTGATTAAAAATAATTCTCTTCACTTTGGGAAGATTGAATCATTTTATACTAAGAGGATAATTAATCCTTTTGACAATCCTATCATTTTCTTTAGATTCAAACCAAATATGGTACAGAATAATTATCATTCTATCCTATCTATCAGCATATGCATCAAACATGACTTAAGTTGACATAATTACTTGAACTGACATGTGTTTGATTAGTTAAATCTGTTTGAGAAGTTTAAAAACTCCAATGCTGGTGTATAAATTTATTATAGGGCCTGAAAAATTTTCCATCAAATCATTCTTATTAATTGGATTTCTTGTGCAGGTGCCCGCATCGTTCGTGCAAGAGTTGTTCTCAAAAACATAAAATCCATGCCATATTCATGGTATGCCAACTTTTACATACCGATCAAGAAAACTTGAAGATGAGTTTACTTTGGTTATTGTCAAATGTTAGTTGTTTTGGCTAATGGTTGATATCCAATTTTGTGGTTACTTATCGAGAACTATATAAGTGGGAGCATTAGGGTCACTGGGTTGATATAAAGTAAAAATCATGTTGGACATGGCTAGAATAGATCTTATCTTGAAACATATTATAAAGATATGAGGATTTGTCCTGGTAGTCTTCTACCTTGATTCACTTTCTTTTGGGCATTTTGCAGTTGCAGATGGTGACTTCCAGTATTATTAATTTTGTATTTTACAATATTAAATATTTTAGTTTTGTTGGAATGATCATATTTTCTATTGGAAGGCTAACAATATGCTGAGCTTACTAGCTTAGGTTTAAGTTTATCTTTACAAGCATGCTCAGTTAAGGTGTTGTCTGAAGTTATCAACTCTGCTCCTTATATTTAAGGGAGAAAGAGGAAATTTTTTATGTGGAAATTGTTAATGCAATGAAAATGAAACTGCAAATATCATTTAGCTAATAGATTTTTGTAACATTAGGATTATTTGTTTGCTTATATCCTCTGCAAATTTTAAAACAATGTACTTTGATAATCCACT